TTACCATCCTTCTGACTTCTGAACCTCTTACAGATCCTTCCTGGATCCGAGGACTGACCCTTTGCCTGTATCTTTGTCCATCCATCAGCCCCAGAAACCTTGCATGGGGATGGACATACTCCCCTTTCACGTAATGCCTTACCCTCTGGGTTGCAACCTTGCTGACACAGCCCCAGTTTGTCACCTCAGCTCACCCAATGTTACTCAGTGTTTACACAATCCCACTGGTTGCCTCAGAGCTGAGATTTCAGCTGCTGCCCCCAGGTCAGGTTGTGGGCACTCAGGGAGTCTCTCAATGACACCATAAGGTGAATGTCATCATTCGTATGTTAGAGATGAAGAAATTGAGCAGTGGCAAGACTTAAAATGCCACCCAGCAAGTGAGGGGTTAAGTCTGGGCTTTTAAAAGTGTAGGGATGTCCCCACATGGGGATACTGCACTGTCCCCAAAGAATGGCCCAGGTGTCATTTGTATGAGAACACCTACAGTGCCTGACAATGATAAGATTCTTGGGCCACACTCCAGACCTACAGAATCTGGATCTCAGGGATATGAAATGCATACCATCCCAGCTGCCAACTTCCCAGGGCCGACTTCTGCATTGGCCACAGTAGACACTAATGAAAGGGCCCATGAAATTGCTTTCTTTTTAATTTCTTTTAAATCCAGAAGAAACATAGAAATAGGTAAAATAAATATATAACACATAACATTATGTATTATTCATACTATATACAATGTAGTAGGTTAAATGTCATAGGATATAATTATATAAAATATTATAAATATTAAAATTATTAAAGTTACAACTTCAGCCTGGGTTATATTCATCTTTATACCAATGCAAGAGATTTTTTTCAATTTTTTAAATTATGGTAAAATACACATAAAAATGTTTACCATCAGAAACATTTTAAAGTGCCCGGCTCAGTGGCATTAAAGACATCCACACTGTTGTACAACCATCACCAGCCACTCATTTCTCTTTTCATCTTGCAGAACTGAAACTCTAACCCCATTAAACAATAATCCCCTATCCTCGTCTTCCCCCAGCCCCTGGCAACCACCATTCTACTTTCTGTCCCTATGATAAAATTTTTAAATAACTTTTTTATACTTTTTTAGAGAGGAAGAGTCCATCAAGGTGAAATGCCTCAGGTCCATGAAAGCCACAATTGGGTCCTGCAACTGCTCCCTTAGATATTGTGTGCATTCCTGTCCTTCATTTAGTCACTCAATCAACATCATCCAGTAGCATCAACTGAAGCCATCAACTGAGCCCTAGAAGATATTTTTTTGCAGTCCAACACCTGTTTATTTTATTTCTAACAATTAAAAACCCATCTGTTTTCCTCCATCTCCTTCCTTACATATCCCTTTCACCTTCCGGTTTAAGTCATCATCAGTTCTTGCCTAGATGGTCCATAGCCTCCTGTTGCAGTCATTCCCCATAATGCACAGACACATCTTGTCCCGCATGAGCAGGTTCTAGTCTACAGAGCAGGTCACTGCATCACCACCAACAGCACCCACCACTCCTAGAACAGTCTTTCTGTCTGAGTATTCTTTAACAATCATTTTCATTCTTCCTACTCTAAGGAAGATTTTGCTGCTTCTCAGAGATGTCGAACCATAGGGGAGAGGAGAGTAACTTTGTGAAGCGGTGAGTCCCTGACACAGCAACAATCAAGCATGGGCTAGAATTTGCCAGGGACATTGTACTGAGAGTCACATAGGACTAAAACAGTAGTTCTCAACCAACAGAGGTTGGATAAAAACAGAAGATCTCAACTAGGAGCAATTAGGGCCCCCAGGGGTCATTTGGCTGTATCTAGAGGTATTTTAGGTTGTCACAACTAGGGGGTAAGAGTTAGGGGATGCTGCTGGCATCTGTAGAGGCTGAGGATGCTAAATGTTCTGCAGTTCACAGGGCAAGACCCTAACCATGGCAAAGAATTACTCAGCCAAAGACAATTAATTGTGTTAAGATTGAGAACCCCTGGATTAAACTAAGTGCCTTTCAGAGTCATCTTCAAAATCAAAGATTCTTTCTTCATAAGAGCTTTTTTGAAATGTAATTGACAAATAAAAATTGTATCTATTTAAATGAGTACAACAATGTTTGATATATGTGCACATTGTCAAATGATCATCACAATCAAGCTAATTAGCATGTTCATTACCTGGCATAGTTATCATTTTCTTCCATGTGTGTGGTAAGAATACTTAAGATCTACCCTGTCAGCAAACTTCAATTACATAACACAGTATTACATAACACATAACTAGAATCACCATGCTGTACACTAGATCTCCAGAACTTATTCACATTGCATAACTGAAAGTTTGTATCCTTGGACCAACATCAGTCCCATTCCTTCCTCCCCCCAGACCCTGGCAATGACCATGTAACTCTCTGCTCTTGTGAATTTGCAAAGTCAAAAATTCTTGAGCAAATCCTGGAAGAAAATACCACATGTTGGGAATGGTCATTTCAGTTCATCCTTCTTTCTATTTAGGCTAACACCCCAAGATCCCATTATAAATACTTCTAGTTTAAACTCTAGGACCTCTGGACAATGAGTAGTTCTCTCCGTCGTCTACAAGACTCAGGGTCTTGTAAGTAAACCAAACAGTGAGTCATCTGCCCCATACACATCCAATAAACACTGTGGAGATTCAAACAAGAGAGTGGAGATTTAAAATCTCCACTATGAAATGGGAAGAAGAGTTAACACTGAGCAATCCCTGGTCATTAGCAAATGGCAAATTCTTCTGTGCAGAATATTAAAGACTTTCTTTTCTGGCAATCGAATACGCTCCTTTTGTTCAAGAAAAGCTCAGATGTTGTTTGAAGGCATATGTGTGCAACTAGCAGATAAATAATTCTTGGGATCTAATACACAGTACAGTCATTATAGACAACTGTATTATAAACATTAAACTTACTAAGAGAGTATATCTTCATAACTCCCACCACTAGAAGAAATTGTAATTATGTGATGTGACAGAAGGGCTAACACTACCCTGGCAATCACATTGCAACATAAATGTATCAAACCAATATGTCGTGCCCCTTAAACTTACACAATGTTAGATGTCAATTATAGCTCAATTTTTTAATAGTTAAAGGACAAACTCAGGATTAAATTTGAGAGCTGAGAACTTTTTTTTTAACTTGCAGGGAAGTCACACCTTCAGAAGACTGGATCTCAGAATTAAAATTTAGTACATATTTAAAAGCTAAGCCCACAAAAGTATTGTCATTTTGTTCAGTATTCTAATTGTTGGGGGAAAAGTAGCGGTTCCTTATTATGATTTAATGTAGGGGTCAGCATTGTGGAAAATCAAGAATATATTGTTTTCTTTTAAGGAGTCAGCAACATATGGTCGTATTAGTTATCTACCATTAGGTAACAAATCACCCAAAAACTCAGTGCCTTGAAACGACATTTATTATCTTTCAATTTTCCGTCCAAAGGTCTCTCACAAGACTGAAGTTAAGATGTCAGCTGGGCTGTGGTCTCCTCTGACAGCTCTACTTGGGGAGGCTGTGCTGCCAGGCTTACCCACAATGTCCTGGTAAGATTCAGTTCCTCACAAGCTGTTGCCCAGAGACCACCCTTCATTCCTTGACACACAGGCCTCTGCAACATGGCAGCTCCATCATCAAAGCATGAAAAGCAAGGGAAATGAGACAAGCCAGAGAGAGCAAGACAAAAATCAGTCTTTTTGTAAAGTAATTTCAGAAATGACATCCCATCACCTTTGAGATACGAGATATTCTATTCATTAAAACTAAGTCACTAGGTCTAGCCACACTCAAGGCAAGAAGGTTACAGAAGGGAGTGAGTACCAGGAAGTGAGGACCATTGGAAACAACGTCAGAAGCTGCCTCTCATGGGTCCCCATAGTTAATCTATTTGGGGTTTAGTGCTAGGCAAAACTTGTGAGTGATATAAGAAAAGACAAGGTGCGATTTGGAGGTGATTTTCTCAGGATGCAAGGTGTTTTTCTGACTATGCTATGTGATGTCCATGTTTAACCATGGAGGGAAAAGGTAGAAGCTGATGGTAGGTTGATATTTCACTTTCTCACTTTATTCTTCTCTTTTTAAAGAAATTTCCTTATCCAGTGTCCTCCATAACTTCTGGCTTTGCCTCTGGGAAGGTCTTCTTTGTCCATTGTTCTCCCCAAAATACATCTTAAGAAGGCATAAGAGATCGAAACTTGGGGAGGAGGAGTGCAGATCTCAAAGTTCACTTCCTGCTCATATAGAGTTAGAGCCAGAGATGTTTTGGTGATTGAACAGTTATGGGTTTTTTTGACACAAGCCAAACTTCTAAATTCTTCAATAATAAAATTCTCTCAGAAAGTTAGTAGGCTTCCAGTCTATTGATTTCTGGTCAGTTCCAAATGCAAGGAATAACTTAATCAACAAGTTCATCCAAATATACTTAATATGCCTAAACGTTCAGGATGGCTCCTGTTTCTCTCCTTCTCTCTCTCCTCTCCTTTCCTCACTCATCAAGCTCTCCTTCAGCAGAGCTTCAGTTCTTACATTCACAGTGTTCTGCAACCATCACCACTATCTAGTTCCAAAACATTTCCGTCACTGCAAAATAAAACCACCCCACCCCCCCTTAAGCAGTCACTACAGATTCCCGCTCACCCCAGCCCCTGGGAACCACTAATCTACTTTCTGCCTCTATGAATTTGTCCATTCTGGACACTTCACATAAAAGGAATCACACAACACGTGAGCTTTTGTGTCTGGCTTGTTTCATTCAGCACGATGTTTTCTCCTTCAGCACACAGGCTGGCTCCATTCTTAGTCCATCTTTTCTTTTCCTATAACTTTGCTGACAGCAGCAAGAAGTGGTCCACACACTCCAGCATTCTAAGTTTTTAAAAACCGTTTCCTCTAGAGCCACAGGCTTTACCAAGTGTTTTATTGTTGCAGAGCATGAGTGACCAGCTCTCCAGGATATACACATGTGTCCTCACCACTTCCTGATGAGCCAGGGTTTCTCTATCATGGCACTGTTGACATTTTGGACCAATTAATCCTTTGCACTGGGGGTCTGTTCTGTGTATTGTGGGATATTTAGCAGCATCCTTGGCCCACTGAATGCTAGTGGCATCTCCCTCCAATTCAAGACAACCTAAAATGTTGTCAGACTTTGCCAAACATCCCACATAGAGGGGCAGAATTGGAGAATTGCTGCAGATTGAAAATCACTGTACAAAGTCAGTGTCATATATCTGGGGTTCTGCTGAGGAAACATTCTTCTCCTGGTATGAAGTCTTGTATCAGTTAGATTATAGATTTGTTTCTTAAAACTGAGACCCAGCATAACAGAGTAGCACGGTAAGAGTCCAGGTCCGGAACGGGAATAGGGTCTCCATGATTATCTTGCTATGGCTTCCACCTTATGTTCCCCAGTGGCTGCCCAGTGACCCTCCTCACACCTGTGGCCAGCAGGAAAGAGAAAGGAAGAAGGAAATGAGTCCTGGGACCTTGGAGTCCCACAGCCAGCCACATCAGGAGGCAGTCCTGACCACCAGGGACAACACCAGCTCCAGGACATCTTGGGCCCCTCAGTCAGCCACCCCAAGATCAGGCCCCACCCACCAGCGGGTCATCACTAGCTACAGGACCCCTGGTACCTACAGTCAGAGACCTGAAGACCTGGCTGTGCCTACTAGTGGGTCGATACCAGCACCAGATCCTCTCCACTCCAGCTTGTCTCTCCAGCAGGCTGACACCAGGACCAGGACGTGCCAAGCCCTGCGGCCATTCATGCTGGGACCCAGCCCAGCCCACCAGCAGCTGGCAGCCTCCACACAAGGCAGGGTCTGGCAATCAACCGGGCTGGGGGCCAGCCATGCCTACCAGCTTGCCCACAGTAGTCAGCCACCACATTTCATGGAATTCTGTGGAAGATGATGAGAAATGTTCTGGAACCTAGAAGAAGATGACAGAACACATGGCAAGGGGTTAAATAATTTACAAATGGAGATGCTGATACCCAGAAAGGAGAAACAACTTGGTGTAGGTCTCACATTGAGCTTGTAGCAGGTTATGGCTGGAGTTGAGGTACCCCCCAACTCCCTGCTGAGAGTTCTCTTCACAATTCCATTCATTTTCTAGAGCTGCAGTCTGAGGAAGCAAACCATAAGGCTGTGGCTTTGACATGTAGGAACCAGGACACCACCTGACCCTTGAGAAGGAAGATCTTGGCTGAGGCTGGGTTGGGAGGGCATGGAGAAGCCAGAGAGGCTAGGGATAGCTACAGAACTATATTCTGTGAGTAGAAGTGATACGTGCAATATCCCAGTCATTCCAGTAAAGGAAAGGAACATGCTCCACCCTGCCCCTTTCCTCTTTCCTGCCAACTGGAATGTGGGATGTGATGTTGGGAGCTGGGGCAGCCCATTTGGGCCACAAGATAAAAGCTGCATATCGAGGGAAGCAGAGCATCAAAATAGAGGGAGTTTGGCTTCCTGGTGATTGCTGGGCTTCCATTCCCGCTCTGGACCATCTATCTCTATTTTCACATGAAATAAAAAATGGCCTTCTAATTCTTAAGCCAGTTACAACAGCCAAACATTTTCTAAATAATACCCTTTAAAAATATTATTCGTAAGGGGGAAGGTATAGCTCAATGGTAGAGTGCATACTTCGCTTGCACGAGGTCCTGGGTTCAATCCCCAGTACCTTGATTTAAAAAATAATAATAAAATAAAGTAAATAAATAAATAAATAAACCTAATTACCCCCCAAAAGAGTAGAACATAAAAAATTGTTAATTTATTATTACAGAGAGGGTGTAGCTCAGTGGTAGAGCACATGCTTAGCATGCACAAGGTCCTGGGTTCAATCCCCAGCACCTCCATTAAAAAATAAATAAATGAATAAACCTAATTATCTCCCCCTCCCCGCCAAAACAAACAAGCAAACAAAAACGTTTTATTCTTTTCCATTCCCACCTTTTGTTAACAGAAGTAGTCCAGGGACCCACTTGACTCTTTCCCCCAGAGACATAGCCACGCACCACTAAGCAGCTATCTGCTCCCACCTTCCCCATTTCATCACCTGAGCCACCTACTGACTCAGTCCTTACATGTCCCTGCAAGTCATCATATCCTTATTTGGCAAGAACTGTCATGAGGCTTAATGGTCCCGGTTTCCAGGGCAAGCTCCTAGTGTCATGGTGGCCTGGAAATAGCAAACCCATCTTGCTCTGAGAAGCCCCTGTGTAATTTACCCCTCTTTCTGCTACGCTGAAGGAAGTAGTGAAGAATACGGACACTGGCGTAAGAAATCAGCTCAATCACTGGTGCTGCCAAGTATTAGCTGAGAGACCTTAGCCAACTTATTGAACCTCTCCGTGCCTCAGTTTCCTTGAAATATAAAATGGTCTTAATTGGATGGTCACTAGACTTATTGTGGTGATCATTTTGCAATGTATACACAAATGCTGTACATTTGAAACTCACATAATGTTGTATGTCAATTATATTTCCCTCTTTTAAATGGTCATTATGACAGTTTTTAACCTCACAGGGCTATGAGAATTAAATGGGATAATCCATTTAAAGTGCTTAAGATAGTGTGTGACACACAGCGAGCACTCCATAAACAGGACAGATTTTGACCTGAGTAATTAGAAGTTTTATAAAGGAGAAGAACAAGGTGTAATGGATGCATAAAACAAGGGAGATCTTACCCAGGGGGAAGGAGGTAGGTCATAAAAAGCTGCCCTAAAGATTCTGGCATTAAAGCTGTCACCTGAAATATGAACAGGAATAAGTTAGGTAAGAAAAAGGAGAGTGGGAAAGAATGTTTCAGGATGGGGGAATAGTCTGGGCAAAGGTTCTGAGGCAAGAGAGAAAACGTATGGTGCACTTGGGAGGCTGAAAAACATTTTTAGGGTGGTAGTGGGTGAGGCTGGATAGGTGGCCAGGGATCCAATTCTGCAAATCAGATTCCTGTTAGGATGCGGTACATATGCCTCCTTGCTTGTACTCATTTAAATTGGGACCACCCCACCACCACCGCCCACTTTATTCTGTATAATCCTCATTGTTTTTCTGTCACCGGACTCTGTTAGAAAGTCACTTTCTTCCATCAGGAATCTCATTAGTACTGATGGACAATTCTGCAATCCATCAGTATACTTGAGAGCTCAAGAACTGTCAGGATCAGTGGCCATGAGTACCAAATCCGTCTTTAGTAATCAACAGATTCCAAAAGGCTCATCCCCTCCAGGACATTTACCAAATGCCCGGCCTAATGCCTTATAAACTGAGGAGAGGCTCCTCTGGGATTGATTTGGATGGTCAGGGAGCTAGTTAGCTTTCTGAGTTCTGACACTGCCACCTGTAGCAATTGGAGGTCAAGGTGGGGAGATCCTATTTGGATCTCCATTTGGAGGAAAGAGTCATTTTAAGACAGAAATCTGAGGGGCTGGATTCTACCTCTCTCTTTCCATTCACATCTTGGACCATTCCCCCATCATTGTCCCACTGGCTTCTTCACCAGCCCCAGGTCCGTTTGTCCTCATTGATTCTGTACCTGAGCCACTCTTTCTTATTACCACCCCTATTCTACACATCTGCCCAGAAGATCCCACACCGGATTTCTATTAATTTGGGTTAATCATATGACTGCAGTGGCTGGCACAAAATTTACCAACCCTGAATAATATAACTTAGTCAAACTTTTATTTATGACTTAATTTTTATCACTGCTGTTTCCCATGGGGGTGTGGTTAAGCAAGGCGTTATTAGCTACAAAACTGTGTGCTTAATACCAGCTCCTTTATAATCTACCGTGATTTAGAGTGCATTCAAGCATGTCTCCCTCAGGGAAGTCTTCCCATGTCCTTTAGTAGCCTCAGTTGGTCTCCTTCAGTTCTCAGAGAACATAGTTCTTTCCTTCAGCATATTTATTTCAGCTTTTGATTATGTATTCATTGGTTTGATTGTTTTGCTATTGACTTTCTCCACCCAGTAAATGAAGGTCTGTGACAACGTGGACATTGTCTAATTTTTCTCCATTATATTCACTATGCCTGGGACATATTCGGCAGTTAACAAGTGTAGCGAGAAGGAGGGGAAAAAAGTGAAGGAGAGAGGGAGGGAGGGAGGGAGGAAAGATTGAAGGAAGGAAGGAAGGGAGGAAGCAAGGAAGGAAGTCCTACCTAAAAACGGTCCCCTTTCCATGTGGGGAAAAAACACTTTTTGTGTAACACCATTAAACATCCCCCCGGCAGGAACCCTCCTACATTGCTGGTGGGAATGCAGTATGGTGCAGCCACTGTGGAAAACAGTATGGAGATTCCTCAAAAGACTAGGAGTAGACTTACCATATGACCCAGGAATCCTGCTCCTGAGCATATATCTGGAAAGAACCCTACTTCAGGATGAAACCTGCACCCCAATGTTCATAGCAGCATTATTGACAATAGCCAAGACATGGAAACAGCCTAAATGTCCATCAACAGATGACTGGATAAAGAAGAGGTGGTATATTTATACAATGGAATACTACTCAGCCATAAAAACCAACAACATAATGCCATTTGCAGCAACATGGATGCTCCTGGAGAATGTCATTCTAAGTGAAATAAGCCAGAAAGAGAAAGAAAAATACCATATGAGATCGCTTATTTGTGGAGTCTAAAAAAAGAAAACAAAAACAAACAAACAAAGCATAAATACAAAACAGAAACAGACTCATAGACATAGAATACAAACTTGTGGTTGCCAAAGGGGCAGAGGGTGGGAAGGGATAGACA